TGCCAGGCGAGTGGGTGTGCCTATGCAAACCAGATCAGCCCCTGGAGTTCTTTTCCACACTCGCCATAATTCACCACCAGATGTCAGGGTAGAGCTCATCCTGACTCTGCTTACACATTTAAAGAGTGGCACCGGCGGCAGGCTGAAGCGGCTGCTACACCTGAGGAGGGGAGGAGACGCACACACGATTGGCAGCTCTCCCCTCCCCTGGCATCCACTGGGGGAAATGCTGAGGGGCTGCCGGGAGATTGAGACTTGACTTCATCTGAGCAGCTGCTGGGGCTTCGGTGAGTGTCCAACCATGTGATCCGCTCCTCCCCCACTGCGACCGCAGCCACTACCCTTGCCCCACGTTGGGCGAGGGGCAGCCCCATCCCCTATGAGCCTATGGTGAGGGGAAGTAGGCTGCAGCAGGGGAGGAGGCCACAGGCGATGGTAGCCCCCTCCCCCCAGCACACACCACAGGGGAGGCGAGGGGTTTTCCTGGACCTTAGAGAGATCCGGACCCTAGGAGCATGTGCAGTGACGGTGCCGGGTGAGCGTTCTGCCAGGGGGGGATATGCCTGGGGGGACTGTGGCCTCCTCTTCTGTGGCCTCAGTCCCAAGGCAGCCTGCCTGCACCCCAAACTCCTAATCCCCAGCCCCACTGCACCCCAGAGCCTGCACCCCCAGCCAGAGCCCTCACCCTCCCACACCCCAACCCTCTGCCACACCCTGAGCCCCCTCCTGCACCGTGAACCCCTCATCCCTGGCCCCGCCATGCAGCCCTCATCCCCCTGCACATCAACTGTCTTCCAGAGCCCTGAGCCCCTTCCCACACCCCAAAACCCTCATCTCCAGCCCCAGCCAGAGCCCTCATCCCCCCATACCCCAAACCTCTGCCCTAGCCCTGAGCCTCCTCCCACACCTGCATCCCCAGCCCCACCCCAGAGCCTGCACACCCAGCCAGAGCCCACATTCCTCCACACTCCCCACAATGTGGAATATAGGGATACTGTTAAACACTTACTGTTTCCAGTCCATTTTTACATTATTTTAAAAGTTATATATTGTTTTACAAGGCAGGTGTGTGTGAGGGGGGACTCGGAACCATTGTGGGCACCACCAAAATTACACAAACCTGCTGATGTGGAGTGATGAGCTGGGGAAACAGACTCCAGGAGCAGACTGTGTTTGCATAAACACCCTACTCTGCCTAGGAACTCAGCGAAGGGAACTGCTTTGCCAAAGTGATCCCTTTTGGCTGGTGTTTGGTTACAAATCACTTTAGTAGGGAATGCACGGGAATGGCATGTTGTCACCCTGACTGTGTGAGGGTAGGGGGGAGGGATAGCTCAGTGGTTTGAGCATTGGTTTGCTAAACCCCAGGTTGTGAGTTCAATCCTGCAGGGGACCATTTAGGGATCTGGGGCAAAAATGTGTTTGGGGATTGGTCCTGCTTTCAGCAGGGGGTTGGACTAGATGACCTCCTTAGGTCCCTTCCAACTGATATTCTGTGATCAGAACTGTGCATAGCCTGCCCTGACTGATGCTCAATCACTAAGCAGAGGGGTGGGGATGACAAATCCCAGTGAGAGAGAAAGAGGGTGGGGACAGGTGTCTGTATCCTGGGGTGTGGGCTCTGCCTAAAGTGTCCTAGTTGCCATTTGACCCTCTCCCTTGTCTCTGTGTAAAGGCAGAGCTGATCAGACACACTGGAGAGTCCTTGTTTTGTTAAGTGATCGCTAGAGCTGAAATCACTGAGAACCAGGTCTAGCCGCTGAGTCTTAGGGCACGTCTACACTTAACATGCTGCATCGGCACACTTGCACCAAGGCAACTGTGCTACTGTGGCACTTTAATGGAGATGCCCTAAGATGATGAGATTTTTCACCCCCCTGAGCGACGTAGTCATACCTGTGGATCCCCACTTTGAACTTTAGGGTACAAATGTAGGGGCCTGCATGAAAACTTCTAAGCTTAACTACCAGCTTAGCTCTGGTTCTGCTGCCACCATTTCAACGGATTCCATTCCTGGGAAACCTTGAAAAACCTTCACCAATTCCCTGGTGAATACAGATCCAAACCCCTTGGATTTTAAAACAAGGAGAAATTAACCATTCCCCCTCCTTCCTCCCACCAACTCCTGGTGAATACAGTTCCAACCCCCCTGGGATCTACAACAGGGAGAAATTAACCATTCCCCCTCCTTCCTCCCACCAACTCCTGGTGAATACAGTTCCAAACCCCCTGGGATCTACAACAGGGAGAAATTAACCATTCCCCCTCCTTCCTCCCACCATGCCATTGAATTGGT